TTATCATTAAAACATTGACATCAGAATGCTGTTAAAACTAAAGGCATACAAATTAAATGTCAAAATTAATTATAGTTTTATTTCCTATTTTGAAGCAATAGATACCTTTATGGAGGAATATTTGTCTTGTCAGTTCTTAAAGATTTTTATACCTTATAGATTAAAAATTTCCAAAAAGCGTCTTCTAGAAGTCCAAAATAGCTCATTGTTATGCTATTTTAAAAAGATGAGTCAGTGGGTTGAGGTGAGTGTTACGGAGTTCTAGTAAGGGGAGATGGAATGTTTTAAGACCCTTTTAAAACCTGAGTTAGGATATCTATGTTGAGTGCCTCTTATCTAAACACTATAACAAAAAATGCTCATGAACACTGTAGCTAGTGATAATGTTATACATATTACATTGACATTACAAATTCTATAATAAACAAACAACAGAGATAATGTAAAACTGAAGTGAACTTTTTGAATCCCTATTATGCTGTTACTATGCTATTGTTGTGGGTAGGTGTCTTCCAGTCAGTTCCAAGCTATAGCAATCCTACATGTAACAGAACAAAACATTGCTCTGTCCTGTGCCAACCTCATCAGTGGTGTTAGGTTTGAGTCCATTGTTGCTGGAATCTATGGGAGATAGAGTTACACAGAGCCTTCCTCTTTTTCAATGACCCTCCACAATAACATGATGTCCTTCTCTAGGGACTGGTTCTTCCTTTCAATATGTCTAAAGAACAAGAGATAAAGTCTTGCTGTCATTGCTTCTAAGGAGCAATGTATGACAGTTAATGGAATGATATAAAAATACTGTTTGTTGAAATTACCTGGCTCTGGGGAAAAGAGTGAGTTTGGGGAGTAGTAATCAAAGTGCACTCTATCTTATCTGTGCTATTTTAAATTATTTTACAAGGAAATGAATTAATGTGCCAAATTATGAATGAAATCGTACCATAGATGAAAAAATATAATACATTATAGAGATATTTTGTTTGTTTTTCAGAGCTCTCAATGATCACGATTTGTTAGAAGCTGTAAGTATGGCTCTCTCAATTTGAGCATGCAGTTCGTTGTTGATGTTCCAACAGCTTTTGGAAATTGTTAGGATACATAGTCCTAAATAAAATCCATTGCTGTTTCAGTTAATTCAGGTGATATCTGTGCAAAAATGAGTATGAAAGCTTTGTCTTGTCATGCTTTTTTTTTTGTTGTTTGCTTTTACTAGATCTTATAATTATTCAGAAATCCTTCACTGAAATATTAAACTACAATATCCCATTCTTGAATTGAGGTCTTCTAATCTTCCATTCATGCCATTTCTATTTCTTTCAACTTTTTAAACCCTAATCACAGCTTCACTATGTAGATTACTAGCAATGGTTCATTGTTTTCATGAGCTAGTGAAAATTTTCTTATGTTAACAACTAAGTATAAAAATAGCTTCTATATATTGAGAGTTTTTACTATGACTAAATGACAATATTTGTTTTTAGAAATATAGTAAGATGCAAAGTGATTTCCAGTCATTAACAGAGGAGAAATCAGTGTTGGAAAATGAGCTACAAAAGTTGAAGAATCCAGAGGTGGGTAAAATCTGTATACAGCTTTAGTTAGCATTAAGTTTTCCAACCTATGAACATTAGATGTCTTTCCATTGGTTGAGATCTTCTTTAGTGTCTTTTAACAACGTGTTATAGTTTTCAATGTGCAACTGTTTAACCTCCTTGATTAAATTTATTCCTTTTTACTTTACTGCTTTACATAATAATGTAAATGGAATTGACTTCTGAATTTCATTTTTTATTGTTCATTGTTAGAATATAGAAACAGTGGGTTTTTGTATGTTGATCTTGCATGCTGCATTACTGCTGAATTTATTTATTTGCTCTATTATGTTTCTCTGAGAGTGTAGTGGAACTGTAGGATAAGCACTGGAGTGCAATCCACAAGGTCAGTGGTTTGAGTCCACCAGCTGCGCCGACAGACAAAGAGGAGGAATTCTTCTCCTGCAAAGATTTTAGTCTTGGAAACCCTATACAGGGTCACTATGAGTCAGAACTGACTCAGTGGCACATAGCAAAAAAAAATAGCAGGAGGTTTCTGTGGACTCTTAGGGACTTTCTATATATAGAAGTAGGCAATGTTGGTTTAGCTTATGTTGTGAGGAGTAGCTGGTGAGTTTAAACTGCCTACCTTGAGGTTAGCAGTTCAGTGCTAATCCTATAGTGCCACATCAGGATTCTGTGAATAAAGGTAGTTTTACTTCTTTTTCAACTTGGATACCTTTTAGTTTTATTGATAACTGCTTTGGCTTTAACTTCTAGTTCAAGATTGAATGTTGGTGGTGGTTGTATACTACTGAGTCAGTTTCAACTGTCAGCAACTCCATATAGGGTTTCTGAGGCTGTAAATCTTTACGGGAACCAAAAGCCTTATCTTTTTCCACCGTGCAGCTGGTAGTTTTGAGCT